TTCCTTCTGCATCACGAATATAAACTTCTCATACTGAGATGAGGACTGGGAAGGGCCTTCAATAGTTAATAAAGAAATTAACCTTAATTTTCCACCCTGACAACCCTAATGATAGCTTTCACAGGAAAGAAAAGAATTTGGTCTAGTCTCTAGCCATGATCTCAACTTTAAGAAGGTAAAAACTCTATTCACTTTTGCCATTGCATTCATACCAGTATGCGTGGGGTATAATGAACTAGTAAGAGAGCAGTAAAAAGCATAATCTGAAAAAGAAAAGGGTAAGTTTCTGGACTTTTTATGTGACTTTGATTTTATATGGGGGGATAATTTGATTACAGGGCTATTGATTCCCAGTATCTATAACCATCTTAAGTAGATACACCATAGCCCAGAAATGCTGCAAGAATTCTGTTTGTGAAAGACGTTTGTTTATATAATGCCCATTATGTTTATGGATCCAGGCTAGAATAGCTTACATTCCTTGTTTTATTTAGTGCTAGAAAATTACATAATCCTCTCCCATGAAAGTACCTAGTTAATCTGTTACTTCCCTTCCCATACTTCTTTAGTGAAAAACCAAGCCTCTATTCTTCAACTCATGTTACATTGTCAATCAGTGAACTCACTTCTGGCTTTACTTCTTGCCTTTTTAACACATAATAATCAAATTCCATTATTCAGTTTAACCTAGGTTATGCTACTGCTACAAACAACTTCCAAACCTAAGGCACTACAACCAAAAAAGTTCCTTCACTGACTCAAGTGAAATGCAAGTATATCATAGCTAGATTGTCCTCTCTGTGTGTAATTTTCATTCTGGGCCTTGGGTATATGTAATTGCTCCAAACTGGATTATTAAAGGGAAAGAACTAGGTGCTATCTGGTCAGAAGTAATACCCGTCATTTCTGCTCATATAACAGCAAAACAAATCACATGGCTGTGTTGATAACAACAGGCTGGAAATACCATCATCATCCCACCCCTTCCCAGCAAAGGGCAATGTACATTTTTGAGCAATAACAGAATCCACCATAAATCCTGACCCTGCCAGGCACACATGCTGCATACTTGCTCCTGCTCCCTCTTGTTTTTATTCCATTCATGCTTGCTTTCCCTCTGAAACCCTTCCTGAGGCTGGAGGATGTCCCTATCCACATTTGTTTTCTTTGTTTGCTAGACCACCATAGTGCTCAACCATCTTTTCTATTTTCCTTTATCAACTGTCTTATCTACTTTTAGCATAGCTGAGACAAAATTCCTAACACCCAAGGAGAAAAGGGGAAAAGTTCATTGCCCATAGTTTATAAAGGGTTGAATCCATAATCACACAGAAACAGTTCATGGCAGGAAGAAAAGAACAAAACAAGCAAAAGACAACCACAATTCTTTCTATTGCTTATATCATATCCAGGCTACTTACTGCAGTTAGCACCCATACCTTAAACCTAGTGCTCTTGATCCCAATATTGTACCTGAAGTGAGTTTGTAAACAATATAGGAATTCAAGCAGCCAAATTAACAAATTTGGAATTTTATTAGCAGTGCAGCATTTGAGGAACAAGCACTTGCAGAAACAAGTCAATCCAGGTTAGTATGCAGACAACTTGATTAGGGTGTCCAGGTGTCCCAAAGATGACCTGATGGGCCTGTCAATATAAAGAAGATTAGAGACCTGAAAGTGGGTGGAGTTTTCCTGGTAAACTGGTTTGCCATAGGAAGAGGCTCTCCAGTGAAATATCTGAAAGTGGTTAAGAACACATTTCAGGGCCAACAAAAAAGCAGAAGCAGACTGCCCCAATCGCACAAATAATGGACAAATAACAGACACTAAAGTGTTGACAAGATTAACAAGATAGACAGAGACTAACAGACAGACATTAAGATCTAGTTTGACCTCTGGCCAACAAGTCCCAACCAAGATCTTGGTCTGAATGAGTCCCAGAGACTAACATTGTGTCCAACATCTCCAAAAACATCCCAAGGGCCCCCAACAATCTAAAACAATCTTACTGGTAAGGATCCAGATGGTTCACTTCAAATTAGCCTGTGAATTAGGGTTTTGGTTTCTCTTTGAAACAAAGAAATTCCTCAGGGGCAAGAAATGTCTCTCGGCAGTCCTCCTAAGGAATAATTTGCCTCAAAGAAAGGATTGGATCCTATAAATCCCTAAATAGGGATCCCAGATGAGCCCCCAAATGAAGTGAATTCATAAACAACATAGGAATCCAAGCAGCCAAATTAATCAATATGGAATTTTATTAGCTGAGCTCAGTGACCATGCATGTACCTCTGTTTCAGAGTCCAATTGAGTGGCACTGAACTGAAGAGTCACAGGGCATTTAAAGCAAAAAAACTACAAATCAAGACATCCTGTTGGAAACAATTTCACTAGAATCTTACATTAATTTTTGGTTGATACCTGTATCCTGCTTCTTTGTTCAGCAGGTTAATTTTTCTCTCTTGTGGGTGCAGCTCATTCTGCTTTCCTCATGGGACTTGTACCAAGTAATTTTTCACTCTTCTGGGTCAAACACAGGGCACAAGTTAAACACAGGGTACAAGACGGCATCAGTTATGCTAAGCTACAACACACCATGAATCAATTCCAGCACCATATACTCTAGATTCAGTCTTTTTGCTCCTACATCACAGACTAATTGGAAGGTGACAGTCAACAGTTGGTTTTCCAGTTATACTGATGTCACATTGCTTACTGTGGTTAGAGGATGGTCCTGTCCATACTTGTTTTCTTCCTTTACTGGACCACAACAGTACTCAACCATCTTTTCTATTTTCCTTTATCAGCTCTTAGTCATTTTTCACACCAGTGAGACAAAATTCCTGACAACCAGTGATAGAGATTAGGTTTATTTAGCTTACAGTTTGTAAAGGATTCAGTCCATAATTGCAGAAAAATAGATCGTGGCAAGCAGAATGTAACAAAGCAAGCAAGAGGGAACCACAGCTCTTTCTATCTCTTATCACTTATCCAGATTACTTAGGGCAAGGTAGCACTCATACATTTAATCCTAGTGCCCTTTGTCTTAGAATTGAACCATAGACCTATTCTAGCATTACAACATTCTAGATCCAGCCATCTCTGAAAAATCCCCACCTATGACTACATGAGGCTTATGGGGACGTCTAAATACAAGCCATGACAAAATCTCTGTGACATCTTTTGGTTATTTTCAAAATTCACACTCACAGCATCACTAGCTCGGTGGAACCTAATATTGTGTACCTCCTATTCTCTACAGAAAATGAGCCTAAAACTTTCTCTAAAAATTGTTATATGCTCCTCCATTCCTTTGGCCCTCACCATATTCTACCTTTTTCATTAGCATTTTATCATCACTGATACATTTAACAAATACTTTGTCTTGTTTATTTTCTCTAAGCTTCCCTTTCTCTTCCTTTACATCTTCTACTGTCATTCATTTCTCTCCCACATAAAGAAAACTTTTTCTTTTTCTTCAACTGTGTTGCATTCCACATATTTCCTATAGCCTCTTTCTCAGCCTGACTCCATTTAATCTTACTCTCTTAAGATGGAATTCCTTCCCTGTCACTGGCTTTTTCCACTTGCTCTACATATTGCTCTGGCAGTCCCTGGGGAAACACTGAGACCTTTCATATTTCACAGCCCTTTCATGGAAGAGTTCTCACTTCCTGATCTATCTATAGCACAACTTGTTGGGGAGACAGGAGGACTTGAGTCACTGCCCTAGGTTTCAAACACCCAGCTCACCACTTTGTGGCTGTTTGGTGCTGGAATGAAACTTCATTTTGGAGCTGGAATTGACACTTCTTACACCATCAAAAGAGAAGAATAATGCTTATTTTCTATGGTTGATACATCACAAAAATAGCATAAAGATCTATTGCAGTCAAGTGATCATGCTAAAAGTCAGTTAATGTTATTTTTTTGTACCAAAAATCAAACTAACAACTTTGCACTTGCCAGGCAGGTGCCTATGCCACTGAGCTAAATCCCTGGCCCATCAGTTAATGTTGTTATGAATGTTATTATATAGTCTCTGCTCCGATATCTTCTGCTCTGTGAGCTCTATGCTGAACCATACTTAGGTGTATTTCTGAAGCAATAATTATTGAAGCAATAATTATCCCATAAGCAACTCCTTGAAGATCAGGGTGGGGGGAGGCAAATAAAGAGGCATATATCGGCCTGGATCTGCATATATTTATGTGGCTTTCTGGTTGGAAAAGGGTTCAAGTTAACAGCTGAAAGGTACAGAACTTTTTACAGCATAAAAGGGCCATTTTACAGGTGAAGGGTGAGGGGCTGTCCATAGCTGGAATTGCAATAGTCTACTCTTGATAAAAGACAGAAGAGTATGGGCACAGATATACTAGGGTTTCAAGGCTTTTAGGTATTTGTGTTTTAAATTTAGTTTTCTGGAAGGAGATTTGACTGATTTTTGTATCCCGAAGCTGCAATTTTTCTTAAAAGTACAATTTGATACTAACATTTTGTAATCTCCTTGTCTGCCTATCCTTATTTCTTCTCTCCTACCTGAAATCAAGAATGATAGGGAGTCGAATGGGATATAAATTCAGAATTTATTTAGTGGTATTCATCGAACTGAGCACAGGACTCAACACTTCCATACTTGTGTGGAATGACACAAGAGGGTTGGTGTAGGAATGTACGCCTCCAGCCTGTTGCTGGTGTATCTTAAGGTGCCTCCTCAGAAAAAGGAAAATTTAACTCTGCCTGAACATAGTAAAATCCACCTTGTACTGCACGGAGACCACTCTTACAGCTATTCCTATCTGCATCCCCTTAATTAGTTTAGGAAGTATTTGTATTTCTTCATTTCTGTATCAGACACCTCTTAGAAAAGGAGAAAAGAAATCAAGAACAGACGCCCATGTCTGCCTCCAAGGCTATCATCAACAGGCAGGACTCCAACCTGAAGAACCCCCAGCAAAACACTGCTCTTCTTGGCCCACCCTCGGGGCCCTCGGCTCCGCCCACCGTAGTGGCGTGCGCACCGGAGCCACGCCCCTGCGGGGCTGATGAAACTTCCCTCAGCGTTACACGAGGTGAGCGGGGCAAGTCCCAACCACAAATCTTAGCCCGGCGTCTGCTTGCCCAGGAGCCCAGGTAAGCCAGGCCGCCGCTCCGCGCCGCGCTCTGCTGTTCCCCATGGGCCGCGGAGAAGCGCTGCCGCTGGGCCCCAGGTAGACGCGGTTCCGGGCGCCGGGCGGATGCTGCGGCTCCTCCCGGGGACTGAGGGCGCCTGACGAGCGCTGCGCACCTGGGAACCGGCGAGGCGGAGACCTCCGCCGGGTGCCCAGGGTTTCGGTGAGCGGAGAGGAGGCCGTGACCGCCTGCGTTTGGCCCTTGGGGTGCGGCATTCTTCCTTAGTGCATGGTGTGGAAATCGGCCCGTGGGGCCCAGCAGTGCCGGAACCTAGCGCGGAACAGCTGGCGCGCCCACGTGGCCGGGTGCGCTCGGGCCCGGTCAGGTTCGGTAGAAGGGTCCCTGGCGTCGCCTAGGCCGCCTGGCTGTCAGTGCTCCTGGCTGGCTCAGCCCGCTCACTTCCCCTCCGCTCTCCGCGCCCTCTCCCCGGCTCCTCAGGTCTACAGCCTCCAGGACTCCTCCAGGGAACCCTGCCAAGAGGAGGTGCCGCTCCGGAGACCCGCGGCCCGAAGGCATCTGTGGGCTTCTGCGTAGTGACTGTTATAAATAAAGGGCCAGGCTTCTCTTCTCCTCGTGGCCTGCAGTATGTCTTCACCGTGCGTTACCCCGGGTGCTCGATGATCTGACAATTAACTTTTTTTGTTGTTGTTGATCGAACTGCTGTAAAATTAATTAGAAGTAGTAGTTCTTACACGTTTCCCAGTTTTTTTTTTTATTTAAAGATTAAGATAAAAGAGGACATAACATAGGTTAGAACAGAACAATTTAAGCAGCATAGTTTCACCACAAGACAACGCGACATAACAGTAGCAACCAATGCCTTCAAATTTGAGTATACCTTCATATACTATAGTATCAAACACGACAATGTAAAACCATTTAAGAGAATGAAAGTATTACAGGGTATTCAGAACCAACTAACAGGAAATGAACAGTGGTTACTATATTATCTCTTTATCAAAAAAATTTTTGTTTATACTATCACATATAATAAAATCCAATAAGATACAACATGATAAAACGGAGACAGAAGAACAAAAGCTTGGTGGGACTTTAAAACAAGATGATATTAAATCAGCACTAACTATTATAATGTCTTGTTTTCTTCAAAATAGCTGTTCAGGCCATCACAGACAATAGAATCAACCCAGAATAAAACCATTCTCCCAGTTGCTTAGTGATTATTGATGATTTCTTTTCTCTATGTATCACCCGTGTCTTGCTGTATATGTAGTTAATGGTGGCCTTGAACTCACTGGAATCCTCTGGCCTCAATTTCCCAAGTGCTGGGATGACAGGCATGCACAAGCACGCCTGGTTCCTTTATTTAAAACTAAGGTATTACTGTCAAGTGTTAACTGTAGAAGAGGAAGTAAATGCTCTGCGGTGGCGCGCTAATTCTGTTGCCGCTAGACGCCTGTGATGGCAGTGTTGAACAGGTAAAATACAGGGCAGTCTGAATTGAGCTAATCTGAAAATAGGAGGTATGTTATTTTTTTTTTTTTTTTGACAATTCAATAGGAATAGTGTATGTAATGTAAAGTCTCATTTTTATATGTTCAAATCATACTATTTCGGGCATGTTGTGTTAAAGTATGTTTAAAATTAATTTCACCCTTTTCTATTTTTAAATAAAGATACTAATATATTTGAAATTACACATGTAGTTCATATTTGTATAGGACAGCATTACTGTAAAAGTGTAGTGGTAATACGAAAAATTACTGAGTACAGGCAACAGCAAAGAAAAAGCATCACAAGAGTTTTGCTCTCCTGTAAGACTGACTGCCCTAAAAATACTGGATTATAGTTTTAATTTCATTTTTTTTTGTCAAAGAAATAAGTACATTTCACAAACCTTTGTTCCTCCTATACACACACTTTTTTCTTTCGCTTTAGTAGCTAGTGTGTGTTTCCTAGACATTCTAAATATAAGGATTCAGGAAACAGCAATAAGAAGACTTAGGTAATTGATGCCCACTTGTTTTGAAAGCACTTTCCTGCACCTTTTAAATTGGTGCGGTTGATATCATTTTTATTGTTTTTGTGCAATCTTGCTAAAAAAAAAAATTCCAAAAAAAGCTGTAGTTCATTAAGACATAAGTGAAATGTCCTTAAAGGTTTGTACAAGTGATTGATATAACTTAAAATACATTTTTTTTTCCCCTTTGGAGGCTTTGTCCCAAATTATGTGAGCCTTTGTTACTAATTTGCATTTTTTAAAATTATAAAATTAGATTTTTTTCCCAAGTTATAGATGTTTTAAAAATTACTGTTTGAGCTGACAGTGTGCAAATCCACAAACTGTTAACTTGAAATTGAAATTGATACTTGTAGGAGTTATTTGCTTCCTGGCCTGCAAGGGTACACTCCTAAGTTTTTTGTTTATTTGTTTCAGCAGTGTTTTATGACTTACATAGTTTGCTTTCTTACTGACCAGTGAAAACAGAAATATTTGGAACATTTTTGTTATTTAGGATACTTTCATAGTGAACATTTTGGGGCTTCTGTCAACATAAAAGTTGTTTTTTTCTTCTGTAAGGACAACTCATAGTAGATTATTGATTTCTCTTTCTTTTGCTTCAGAAGTTACTTTTGAATAAGTCAAGTACAGGTAGGCTAGAAGTTGTGAAATGCTTAACAATACCTGTATGTTTTAATATTACCCTCAGCAGTATATGTGATCTACTATTAAACCCTCCATGTCCTACCTACAGTGTAGCAAAGTATATAGAGGTCACTTAATTGTCAAGAAAACTGTAAAATGTGGAGAGTCTCCCAAACTCTTGAGAGGGTCTCAGATCCTAAGGTGGAAAGAGTTGAGGCTGGGGTCCCTGTTGTCTGAGCCTCTTGCCCTATATATGTATTCTGAGAGCAAACTGCAATGCAGGCACTGTGTGGCTTGCATGCTACCACCCCTAGCTAACCACAAATCTGAAGACAGGAAGGATGCAGGTTTTCTGAGGGGTGTAGCTGTTTCAATGTAGAGGTCATCTGTCTTTCTGAATACTTGTAAGTAAATAAAATCATTACTCCTGTGTGCCTGCCAACCTAATAGAAAACTGCTAAAACTAGGATGATTTATATCTCAACTTAGATTGGATACTGAATATACGACTGGTCTGCTTTTCTCTTCTTAGAGCCCATAACTCACTTGCACCATGTGTGGCATTTGGGCCCTGTTTGGCAGCGATGACTGCCTTTCGGTGCAGTGTCTGAGTGCTATGAAGGTTGCACACAGGGGTCCAGACGCCTTCCGTTTTGAGAACGTCAATGACTATACCAACTGCTGCTTTGGATTTCACCGGTTGGCAGTGGTGGATCCTCTGTTTGGAATGCAGCCCATCCGACTGAGGAAATACCCTTCTTTGTGGCTCTGTTACAATGGTGAAATCTACAACCACAGGGCGGTAAGCAAAAGGAACCCAGAAGATGTCTGCTTATGATTAATCCCCAAAGCTGATTGGTTATAATAATGTTTTATATTTTGTTTCATTTTTTTTTAAAAGTCTTATTCTGTGTTCATGATCTCATTTGTTTTAATCATAAACCTTTATAGACAACTGATGCAAAAGGGAGGCAATGACGTGGTCACATAGTAAAAATGGGGTTATACCTTAGTTTCTTTAAATATTAGAAATTTTTTCCTTTACAAATTGTAGCATTAATTATGATTGTGCTAGCTTTGTGTTAGAGACTTCAGTAAGAGGGTAGGTCTGCAGTTGAATGGACCTCATTTTAGTAGGGAACAGACAGTATCATTGTTTTTATATATATGATAGACTTCCTGAATGAACAATTACAGAACTGATGAATGTGAGGATCCACTTTTAGGAAATGGGCTCAGAGCACAGCTTTTGAGGAAGTGACACCCAAACAGACCTGCTGGAGAAAGATCACCAAGTCACGTTGGGAAGAACTTTGGCTGCAGAGGGGAATGGCAGGTGTAGAAGCCCTCGGTAGGAAGAAAGCATCTCTGGGATTGTAGTGAGTGAGAGGCATATGGGGAAGGGGTGCTTGGGATGGTAGACAACATGGAGCAGGATGCCTTGGTAAATTGGACTACATTCTGAGGGCAGAAGCAGTCACAATTTTAAGGGAGGGATAGAATTTAATAGGTTCGAGTGTAGAGTGCCAATGAGCTATGCCACTGAATATGCAGTTTTGTACTTCACTCAATCAAACCCAAAAGGTGTAAAGATGGGCAGGCTGCAGTGAAGTGTACTAGGCTTTTAGTGGCATTGAAACAACTTCCTAATCTGATACATACTTTTAGGATGAGAACAGGTGAAGAGACGGAAATTGTGATCCTAGGAAGCCAGATTTGATAAATGCGCATTCCAGGATCATTTGTGTAGTGTTTCATAAAAGCTTTTTAATCTTCCACCTGCAAGTTATTTTTTATCAGCATTCTCTCCAACTTTTAAGCAGGAAAAAATTTTCAGAAAAAACCCAGCACTGATCATCTAGATTGAATCATTATAATCGCCAAGAACAATGGGATAAGTGTGTTTGAAGTGTGTACGTGGTGAGGGAGGGGCACATTTTGAATATTCAGAAGGGAATTAACAGCAATGTAGCTTTCTGAAATTTTTAAAAACTTTAAATGTTCACTCTATGTTTTGATCATCCCCTGTATTTCTTACTTACCAAAATTTCTCCTCTCCACTTCTCACTAACCTGACCCTTCATTCTTACCTCTCTTTTCACAATTTCATTTCCAAACACCGGGAAAAATGATACCTGGCATATACTGGAGGATTTTTTAATGTAAGATTTAAAACATCTGTAGATTTTGTTATCCATTTGGCTTAAGGAGCCAGTGTTGCATGGACAAGAAGGGCTGTGTGTGTGTATATATTACATTGTATGTAAGAATTCATCCACGTGCACATTATTTTCTGGTGCAAGCTATTGTGTACTATTTCTCAGAGTACAACTGAAAATGTTAGAGGTTTCAGTCTGATATTGCAAAGGATTTGGAGAATTGTTTGAGTTACCACAAACTGATTCTAATGCTGTGATTCTTCTAAATCATCAAGATGCATGAAACCATCAAAAGGCACTCAAATATTTAAACTTGGCAATAGATAATGAATTGGTGAGTGCACAAGAATCCTAATACTTTCACTTTGCTTTGCTTCCTTAAGGTGCAACAACATTTTGAATTCGAGTACCAGACCAATGTGGATGGAGAGATAATTCTTCATCTGTATAACAAAGTAGGAATTGAGCAAGCAGTTCGTATGTTGGATGGGGTGTTTGCATTTATTTTACTAGACACTGCTAATAAGAAAGTGTTCTTGGGCAGAGATACCTATGGAGTCAGACCTATGTTCAGAGCCATGACAGAAGATGGATTTCTGGCTGTGTGTTCAGAAGCTAAAGGTAATAATAAAATTAACTTTCCTCTGAATTTTCAGTCTTTTTGGTTTCCTGCTTTCTTCAAGATCATATTTGGAAATCATATGGGGGTTCTCCAAAGTTTTACAAGTGACCAAGTTTTGAATTCTTTGAGCTCGTTTTTATTTTGTTAATAGGTGAGCTCTCCTTTTCAGCACTTGAAATCTTCAATGCTTGAGGACAGGTTTATAGTATGTTTATGTGTTGTTAGGCTAATAAACTGCATCTGATTTGACCCTCTGTGCACTTTTAAGTTTTCTTGTGTATTGTAGCCAAAGGTCTGGTCCTGTAGTTACTGCTTTGTACCTTGACCCCACTGTTGCACAAGTAAGTAGCATTTTAAAGAGAGCTTTATGGATATATAACTTAAATACTGTATAATTTAGAAACTTTACGAGTCAATGGTTTTTAGTATAGTCACAGGTCTGTAACCAGCACTTCTAGTAAATTTAAAATCTTGTTTATCACCCCAAAAATAAGCTCTCTACCATTTTGCTGTAATTCTCCAACCCTCTTCATCTATCATCTTCAGCCCCATACCCTCCCTTCAGTCCCTGGCAATAATCATCAGTCTGCTTTCTTGCTCTGTATTTTTTTGTGTTCTGGATATTTCATATAAATACAATAACATCATTGTATGTGTTTCTATGGGTGGATGTTTCAATTGACATAATATTTTGAAGATTTCCTATTTTGGAAGTATTTACTTTTCTGGCCTGATGATATTTTATTACATAGCTATGCCACAACTTGTTTATTTTTGGATCATGTTGCTGTAAATGTGTACAAGTTTTTGTACTGACCTAATGTTTTTCTTTTTCTCAAATATGGACCTAAGAGTGAAATTACTGGGTCATCTAGTGACTGTTAGTTAAATTACCAGATGTTTTTCCAAAGTGACTGTAGCAGTTTACACTCATACTAGAAATACATAAAGGTTTCAATTTTTGATCCTGGAGTTTTTCAGTATATTTATCACAGCATTGAAATGTGTTGTCTTCCTGTGGTTTTGATTTTGCATTTTCCTACTGACAATAATTGCAAGCATTTTTTCCTGTGTTTATTTGTTATGCATATATTTTCTTTGGAGAAATGTCTATTCAGTGTCTTTGCTTTCCAGCTGCCACCCCTGCTTGGATCATTTTGTTTAAGAAAATTAAAGACTCTTTACAAAAGTATATGTTTCAAAAAAAAAAGCAAATGAGCAGATGTGTGAAGGCCTACCAGGTTCTTTTATTGTTAACATTTTGCTTTCCATGGTACAGTAGAATTGATGAATTAATATTGATATAATATTAACTAAATTCCCCTGTTTACACTAGGGTTCATCTGTTACGCTTTTTTTATGTTTGAAAAAGACATAATACCTAATATCCAGCATTACATGTGTCATTTCATTGTCCTAACAGTCAGTGGTGCATCTTTTCATCTTTTTTCTACTGCTTCAACGCCTGGCAATCACCAGTTTTCTTACTGTTTCCATAATTTTGCCTTAGCAAGAATATCATGTAGTTGTAGTTACATAGTATATAACCCTTCTGACTTCTTTCATTTAGCAATGTGCATTTAAAGTTCCTGAATGTCTTTTTGTAGTTTGATTACTTTTTATTGCTCAATAATATTTCATTGTCTAGCTATATCACTGTATGTCTAACCATTTCTGAACTATCCAATTTTAATTGAGTTGTCTTTTTTAGCTAGTTGTTACCATTGCCTAGATATATTAGATCTAAATCACAAGATGATTTTCAGTCAGATTGCAAGATAAGGAATCAGTATACAAAACAATACAAAGTGTACACTATACACTTGAAAAAACAGTATCAAAATCAAATTAAGAAAACTTTTACAACAAATTATAAATTACTTAGCAACAGATTATAAAATGCTTAGGAATAAATTTAACCAAAGAGGTGCAAAACTTGTTTTGAAATTTATTAGATGAGTCAAGAGAAATTAAAATACAAATAAATGGGAAATCATCCCATGTTCATGGATGAAAGACTTAACATTAGATGGCAGTGTTCCTGCAAGTGTAATATTCAGTGTAATCCCCATCAGACTCCCAGATAAGGCCAGGCGTATAGCTGAGCAGTACAGTGCCTGCCTGGCAAGCACAAGGACCTGAGTGTAATTCCCAGTTCCATTTCTCCAAAATAGAATCCCAGATAATTTTGTAGAAATTAACGGGGTGACTTTTAATTCATTTGCAATTACTAGTGACCTAGACTAGTGAAAGCAGTTACTAAAAAGAACAAAGCAAATGTGTTATCTTTTTATTGCTGTGATCTAATACCTGAGAAAATCACATCTGAAAGGAAGAAAGGTTGATCTTGACCTATAATTTTAGAGGTTTTAGGCTATTGTCGGCAGGCTCCAGTGCTGTGGGCCATTAGGGAGGCAAAACATCATGGTGGAAAAACATGGAAATGCTCATTTTATGGTATCCCAAAAGCAAAGAGATAGGCAAGGACCAGATAAGCAAAAATTCAGATATGCTACTGAATTTGCTTCTTAAGTCTAGCAATTTTTTAGTGAAGTTTTTGTAGAATATTGGATCATCTGCAAATAATGATAATTTAATTCTTCCTTTCGTATTGTTACTGCTTTTATTCTTTTGTCTAATTGCTCTGGCTGAAGTTTTCAGAACTATGTTTAATAAAAGTGATAGTCTACATCCTTGTTTTGTTCCTGATTTTAGATTGAAAATTTCTGTTTTTGTTCATTTAGTGTGATGTTGGCTGTTGGTTTGTCATAGTGGGATTTTATCAGATTGAGATGAAGACCATCTATTTCAATTTTCTGTTTTTTTGTTTTTTGTTTTTTTTCTTATACCAGGGATCAAACTCATGACCTCACACTTGCCAGGCAAGCACTTACTTCGCTGAGCTAAATCCCTCGCTCTTCTGTCGGGTTTTTATCATGAATGGGTACTGGATTTTATCAGAAGCTTTTTCTGCATCTATTGAGATGATCATCTGTATTTGTCCTTGACTCTGTTAATATGATATTTATTGGTTTACGTATGTTGAACCATCCATGCATCCCTAGGATGAATCCAACTAGGTTGTGATATATAATCTTCTTGATAATTTGCTGCATTCTGTTTGCCAGTATCCTATTGAGGATTTTTGCATCTATGTTCATTAGGGAGATTGGCCTGTAGTTCCCTTTCTTAGTTGGGTCTATCTTTGATTTCATTATCAGGTTAATGCTTGCTTCCAGGAATGGATTTGGGAGTATTTGCTTCCCTTTCAGTTTCATTAAAGAGTTTGAAAAGTAGTTATATTAGATCTTTAAATTTCTTGTAGCATTCAGCATGGAATCCATTAGGGCCTGTACTTCTCTTTGTTGGTAGGCTTTTAATTACATCTTTGATTTCATTGATTGATATTAGTTTAGGAGTTTATGTCTTTTGTATTCAATTTTGGTAATTCATATGTATCAAAGAATCTGTCCATTTCTTCTGCACTTTCCATCTTGTTAGAACACAAGTCTTCAAAATAAGTAAAGATGACCTCGGTTTCTGTAAGGTACATTGTGATTTCACATTTTCATTCATAATTCTGTGAATTTTAGTCTCTCTCCCCTTTTCTTCATAAAGTTTGCTAAAAGTTTGTCAATTTTATTTAGTGTTTCAAAGAACCAACTTTTTTGATTCATTAATTCTATTGTTTTACTAGTCTCCATCACATTAATTTCTGCTTTCATTTTTTTTAATTTCCTTTTCTGAGCTTTGGGCTTTTCTTGCTCTCTTTGTAGAAGCTTGAAGTTCAACATTAAGTTGTTTTTTTGAGCTTGCTCTTTTTTTATGGTACAGATATTCACTGCTCTAAATTTCCTTTATTGGGCTGCTTTCATTGTGTCCAGTAAGTTTCAGAATATTATACTGGCATTATTGTTTTAATTGTAGAAACTGTAATTTCTTTACTTTCTTCTGTAACCCATTGGTTTTTGAGGAGGGTGTTATTTAATTTCCATATGTTTACGTAGTTCTTACGTTTCTTTTGCTATTGATTTCCAATTTCATTGTACTATAGTCTGATAATATGCATAGGATAATTTCAGTTCCTTTGCATTTACATAAGTATGTTCTATGAGCACGTACCATGGTCTATTTTGGAGAATGTCCCATGTGCTTCTGAGAAGATTATGTATTCTGTTGTTGTGAGGTGAAATACTGTAGACGTCTATTAAGTCCATTTGTTCAAAACTTTGGTTCGGTTCTGAAATTTAACTATTGATTTTTTTTTGTCAAGTTGATCTATCTGTTTATGACATCAGGGTATTGAAATTCCCCTAATACAATTGCATTAGTGTTTATTTGATTTTTTTCATGTCTGCTAATATTTGTTTTGTATAGTTGTGTACACTGGTTGGTATTTGTTACATATATATTTATGATTGTTATGTCTTCCTCTTGGATTGTTTCCTTTACAAGGATGTACTGACCTTCTTGATCTCTCTTAATCAGTCTTGGCTTGAAATTCACTTTGTTTACATAGATAATAGCTACCTCTGCTTTTTTCTGGGTTGTTGTCTCATGTAGTATTGTTTTCCATCCTCTGACTTTGTCTGTGAATTTCTTTTTGAATTAAATATGTTGATTTTATGCAGCATATTGTTGGATCTTGCTTCTTGATTTATTCTGCCAATCTGTTTCTTTTGATCGAGACCATTAATATTTGTGATTATATTGAGAAAGCTGGGATCTTTCAGAAATACTAATATTTGTGATTGTATCTTATGTGTATTGACTTATCCTTGTCATATTTTCTGTTAGCTCCCCCTACCCCTTTTCCTTCTTTAGTTGTCCTCCTAGACTGGAGTTGTCCTTTTATTGAGGTTCATGGAGTTATAGTCTTTGTTATCTCTTTCTAGAATGTCCTTCCGAACATTTTGGAGTACTAGTTTGGAGTTCATGAATTTTCACAGGTGTTCTTTGTCATGGAAGTGTCATATTTCTCCATCAGTTTTGAAAGATAGTTTTGCAGGGACATCAATCTGGGTTGGGGATTGTTCTCTTTTATGGTTGAAATACTTCACTTCAAACTCTCCTTGACTGGAAGGTTTATGTTGAGAAGCCAACTGTGATTCTGATGGCTTTTGCTTTATAGGTGATTTGTTTCTTTTCTCTAACAGCTTTTAATAGTGTATTAATGTGTTGAATTTGGAATCTTTAGTAAAGCATGCCTGGCTGTAGAATTTTTTTGATCATGACAGGTTGATGTTCTGTATACTTCACTTATCTGAATTGTTTTCTCCTACCAGTGAGGTTTTCTGCCATGACATTTGTGAACAGTTTTTTTTTTTTCTTTTAAATCATTTGTGCTATCCTGCTTCTTTAATTGGCTCCAAATCAATTTATGTTATTCTTGGTATCATCTAACACCTGCTGGATTGATTTCTCCTGATCCCTTGCTATTTTTAAGAAATCATCTTTTATGATTGCTAACTGCAAGCCTGTGTTCTGTATCTGAACTTCTTTCCTCACATCAGATACTTTCAGTGGAGTTTTATTCTTGTGAGTAGCTGCTTGAATCTATTTTATGCATTTCATTTCTTTCCTACCTTGAGCATTTATGGGTTTTATCATTTTAAGTTCTGTCTGTTCTAGAGTCATTAAGCATGTTTTTCATTGTAGTCACCGTCTCTGTAGTTATTTGAGAAATTATTTCTGATGTTTTATTTAGAGCCTCATTCATTTGCTTTGTTGTTAACATTTCAGAGAGACCAGTTGGGTAGCTTTCAGACTTTCAGATTTCCTCACCTCATTGCCCCCTGAGTTTGCCTTTGGTGAACTGAATGTGTTGTTACATCTTGTTAAGTGTCTGCTCATTTCCTTTTTTTTTTTAGTTTAATTCCTGGGTTGATGCTTGTAAATTGCTTATGAAAAGTTGCTTTATTGCTAGGATTTAGAACTCTTAGGATATGGTTACTTCTGAGAAGTGTGTTCTAAGTTTATCTGGTTTCAGGATTTTTGAGTCTAGAAAATATCTGAAGTGAGAATTGAATCTCACAGGGAGAGCAGAAGAAGGTAGACTTCTAAACTTCTCCCCGGCTCAGAACTCAATGTGTGGGAGAAGTAGTTCACCTTTAGACACACCAGAGGCCTGATACACCAGAGGTGTCCACAGAGGGACACAGCAGTGAAGGGGAAACGTGGATGTGAAGCACCTGTACTAGATCCTACCTCTTCAATTTGTTGAGGATGAGAAGTTGCTGCCTCCTTAGCATAGTCTCTGGTTTTTTGGTACTGACTCACTGTATATTCTGTGATTCTTAGCCAATCTCAGTCTTGGTATACCAGGAAGAACAGTTGGTTAGAACAATTTTATCGTTTTTGGCTAAAGTGGTACAATCAGCAATAACAGTATCATAAAATACAACCTAAAAAATGATAAACTAAGGTAACCATTATTTTGCCACCTTTATCCATATGAACTAGATTTGTGATTATATAATAAAATCTAAAATCAAATAATTATATACAGTAAATAAGTCCTCAGTGTGTCAATTCTACCCTCAGGGGAGAACATTTAAAAGGGATAGGGAAAATATAGGCAAATAGGAAGAAAGGAAGATTAGAAGCCAGGCTAGAGTACAAAGAGGGATCACACAAACTTTAGGAAACTGGTACAGAAGACTGGAGGGAAAGAGAGAAGAAAGAAATAAAAGGAAGAACAGAACAGCAACCACGAAGAAAGTACGAATCCCATTCATACTTGCATAAGAAAATCAAACAATGAAGGAGAAAAAATAAAAGAGAGGAAAAAAAAGAGCAGTCCACTTCCAGATTAGTTTCCGCCATTACCGGTGTACAACATGTGGAGACAGTTCAGGTCTGAGTTACTTTATCCCAGCAAGCCAGCAGAGCTATATGATGGGATAGTAAATAGTTTCATTGAGCCTGTGCTTTTATTTCTTCTGAAGTTCAGGTTGATTTCTGGCCATGTGGCTGGTCTAGATCTGTTCAGCCTGCAGCCACGAGGGCAGTATCTGTAAGCTTGAGCTCAGCTAGGAGCCACCAGATGGAGCTAGCACTCTCATTTTGAGCTCAGTTGGGTGTTCTCTAAGATGGCTGCTGGCCAATTGCCCTCTCCTGTGGCTGTTCGATCCAGAAGCACTCACACCCAGCGATATAGTCCATGACATCCACTGTTCCCTTTCACTGCTGTGTCTCTCTGTGGACGCCTCTAGTGTATCTATAGGTTTGAACTGCTCCTGTCACATAGTGAGTCCCAGAATCTGAGAAGTCTACCTCCTCCTCCTTCACTGAAGTTTCTCTCTTCACTCTCTCCATGGGCTTCAGTTCTCACTTCAGTTTTTTCCTGGGCCCAGAGGACCCACTTCCCTCCTCCTTGCCTTCCTTGCGTTGCTAAATTCCGATGTCTGGACAGCAACTCTTAGAGGGTGCTTCTTGTGATAATTACGTCTCTGCCATCATCCCAAAAATTTTCCATGGCTGTTTTCTTAAAAATGCTTAAGTGATGTCAAAGAAATTACTTCCAGAGCATTATAAAATTAACATTTAAATTTATCTTTTTGTTTCATAAGTAGATTTTGGGGATTTTGTTTCTTTTTTTTACTTTACTGCAGAAAATAGGTTTTCTTGATTATAAATTCTGTGTAAGAAAAGGAATTGAATACAAGCTTTGTCTATTTCTTTGAATTACTACATGTTAGTGTACTTTTGCTATATTTTCTATGCCACCTTTATCTCTAGTAAGTAGATAGTAGGGCTTTATGTGATAAATTTTTCCCTACTTTTGTTTAAAAGTAGGAAAAGTAGCCAGGAGTGGTAGTTCATACTATAATCTCACTACTCAAGAGGCAGAAGCGGAAGGATTGCTGCAAGTTCAAGGCTGGCCTAGGCTACATAGTGAGTTGAAGGATAAAATAGTGAGATCTTGTCTCAAAACAAAAAAAATCTGTTTATTTATATCTATATCTAGCTATCATATAAATAAAAAGGAATTTATAGAATTGTTTTACTTTATTGATGAAGTTCACTTTTTAAACTTTGTAGGTCTTGTTACACTGAAGCACTCCACAGCTCCAGTTTTACAAGTGGAGCCTTTTCCTCCGGGGCATTATGAAGTTTTGGATTTAAAGCCAAATGGCAAAGTGACATCTGTGGAGATGGTTAAATTCCATCAATGTACAGATGAACCTGCACATGTCTGCTATGACGGTGTGGAGAAACTCTCTCCAGGTAACAGCTACTTATTCCTGCCATTTCCCCCAAAGAAAAATGTCACATTGTCACACCAGTTGAGTGATTTTAGATTCAAGACCCATTTCCTGTGTCACTTGGATTTGCCACCCTGGAATTTGACAGATTCTACTTTTGAGTGCTGGCCAACACTGGGGATGTGGATGACCATGTAGTTCATTTTAGTAACTAAACTAAGCTCAGCTTTTCTCAGGCTGTTGAATTTTTTTTCTGTGTTGATAGGTTTTGAGATAGAGAACGTGAAGAACAACCTCCGTATCCTTTTCAACAATGCTATTAAGAAGCGTTTGATGACAGACAGAAGGATTGGCTGCCTATTATCAGGTGAAGTCCCTGTCTAATAATATTTGTGTGTGTTTAAGTACAATGATTTGTAGCCATTCTTGAGCTTTTGAGACAATCTTTATTGGAGTAAAAGCTATTTTTTGTAAGTTTCATGTAACATTTATAGTTATATGACCTAGAGATATATTATAGCTGTATTGGTGTTAGGAGCTAGGAGTATACTTTCTTTAGAATATCATGTAGTGATTTTTAACCAATTTAGATATAGTTAGCGTTAGTGTGTCATTCTCTCAAAATACAAGCTCTGTCTTTGCACTCAATAAAGTTGATTTCTATTTGTAAATTTGGAGCTCTTAAGTGGTCAGGCTAAAATGCCACATTTAATAAGAATGTAAGTTACTATATCATAACCAGTGCACTGGTTCTCTTTGTTCATAGGAGGCTTGGACTCCAGCTTGGTTGCTGCTACTCTGTTGAAGCAATTGAAAGAGGCCAAAGTAAAATATCCTCTGCAGACCTTTGCAATTGGCATGGAGGACAGTCCTGATTTACTGGCTGCTAGAAAAGTAAGAAGCTGTCTTTGCACATCATATAGTTAGAACAGGCTTGTTACTAAGATGGAAATGACATCTGTAAGTAATAATCCTATTTCAGCTGCTCTATTGATGCCAATAATTGTTTTAAATTAAAGGCAAAAAAACCCAAACACATTAGAGTGGATTGAAATGCATTTGAATATCTACTGTATCTTAGTTAATTTTATCCATCATTACCCATACAATCCTCACATAAACCCTGTGACATTAATTTTGTGTTTAGAGTCAAGGCATGGTGTGGAATTAAAGCTCAGTCTTTGGGGTTTTAAATCTGGATTTCCCACAGATTTGTGTCCTCACTTACACAACATGGTTAACAATGTCTACAGTGGGATAGTATTTAGGGAAAATGTGTAACTAACATGAAGCATATAAGATAGACCCTAGCAGTTGGTATTTAGTGACTATTAGCTTATATATTTATTCTTTATAAAGTGTTATGTATAGAACTGTGGCTAGAGGGCCCTGTACATAGAATGTAGGAGTTCTGTTTTTTGCTTACAAATACTCAAGAGTGAATGAGAAAGAGCTGGAGAGCAGTCTCAATGCAAGTTGATTGACGCTGAAAGACTCCAAAATATCCAGACAAAGTAGAACGAGGGAAGAGCCATTCAATGTAGGAATAACATTCTGGTATAAAATTAGCCGTGTGCAGGGGGCCAAAAGGAGAGCAAGAGTAGAGTGTAGGCATGTTAGTATCAAGTGACATGAGGTAGGTTAGCTAAGATAGATGGGGCAGGGGATGCTAGTTGGGAACCTCTTATTTATTGGGTGCAGCCTTGCAATGGGAAGAACCTTTGGGAGATAAGTCTTCTTGCAGCTGAGGGCAGAGAGCCGGACAGGCAAGGCACCTGGTAGGTGTGGTTGTATGTGGTATCCTGCAGAAGACTTTCCTCTTTATTTTACCTTGTTTCTTTTTCACTGTGAATTCACAGTGCCCCATGAATCACTATTCTGTTTTATTTATAAGTTTGTTCTAGTCTCTAAATATTGAGTGTATGGATTTTTCTTTGTATAATTAGGTGGCAAATTATATTGGAAGTGAACATCATGAAGTCCTCTTTAATTCTGAGGAAGGCATTCAGGCCTTGGATGAAGTCATATTTTCCTTGGAAACTTATGATATCACAACAGTTCGGGCATCAGTAGGTAAGGCCTTTTATGAATTAAAAGCTATTTTTATTTAATATGCATACGTTTTTAAAAATATTTAAAATCATAATGTATTGCTCAGCATTTTATGTCTGTGACAAAATACCTGAGAAAAATTAACATAAATAGAAGGAAAATTTAATTTGGCTTCTGGTTTCAGAACTTGCAGTCTATGGTCAGTTAGCACTGTGTGTTTTGGATCTGTGACAAGGCAGAACATCCTGGTGGGGGGCAATGCTTTTACTTCTTGGTAGCCAGGATGTGCAAAAGGAGAGAGGAAACACTGGATTCTAGTTTCTGTCAGCAATGTGCCCCCAGGGGTGTCAGCTTCCACTTGGCCCCACTTGGGAAGGGTTTTACCACTTTCTAGTAATGATAGTAGTTCCTAATAGTTCCTGGGAACCATCCTTCAAAGTGTTTGGGAGATACTCTAAATCCAACTATAGCAAGCAGTTTAAGTTACATCATTTAAAAATGAATTCAAAAAATTCTTAATGTGTTCATTGTTTATGAGCCCTTCAGAATTCCCTGAATTTCCTCAGGAGTGTAAGGAATTGTGTATATATATTTCACCTACCCCATGTATATCATCTTTTATATTTTTCCCCAGAATGAATACATATTTTTCACTGCTTTCCCTCCTAGGTACTCTGGGTGTACTTTTTGGGCCATTTTGTTGGGCTTCATATTTATAGGTTCCGTATCCGTAGATTCAGTTGAAGACTGAAAATATTTAAAAATAAAATTTCGTCTGTATTACACATGTGCAGTTTTCTTTCCTTGTCTAGGTTTCTTAAGCAGTAGAGTCTAGTGACTATTTACATAGTTTCTATGTTTTATTATGTATTATAAGTAATTTATGGTGATTTAAAGTACAGGTAGAACTTAGAGACATTGTAGATTCATTCCCAGACCTTGGCAATAGTGCAAATATTGTTACAAATTTTCACAAATGTTTTGGCTTTCTGGTACATGTAAAAATCATGTTTATAATATACTGTGGTCTGATAAATTTTAGTAGCATTATTTCAGGTCAGGAGTTATACATGTCTATAATTCCAGCATTGGGAAGATTGAAGCAGGAAGATCACCATGAGTTTAAGGCTGGCATGCACTGTATAATAGTGAGTTATAAATGCAAACCTGAACTATATAGAAGACCTTGTATTAAAAAAAAGATGCAGGCCATCATTAAACAATACTTCTTTGTTTAAAAAAGTGCTAATAATCGTTTTGTTGAAGCAGGGATACCAGTTTTGATGTAAGCCTGCCACAAACTTTTAATTTGTAAAAAAAAAAAATATAGGAATCAACTCCCGAAATCCAGCCATGCAGGGACTCAGGCAGCTTATCTACCAGCCCTCTTGGTAAGCGTCTGCAATGGGGGCCAGAAGGAGAAGAGAGCTCCTGAATCTGGCCATGGAGGGACTCGGGCAGCTTATTCACCCGCCCTCTTGGTAAGTGTCTACAACGCGGGCCAGGAGGAGAACAGCTCCAGAGATCCGGCCATGCAGGGAGTCAGGCAGCTTATTCACCTGCCCTCTTGGTAAGCGCCTTGATGCAGGCCAGAAGAAGAGAGCTCCTGAGATCCAGCCATGGAGGGACTCAGGAAGCTGATTCACCCACCCTCTTGGTAAACATCTGCAACATGGGTCAGGAGAACAGAGCCCCAGAGATCTGGCCATGGAGGGACTCAGGTAGCTTATTCACCCGCCCTCTTGGTAAGCATCTGCAACGCAGGCCAGGAGGAGAACAGAGCACCAAAGATCCGGCCATGGAGGGACTCAGGCAGCTTATTCACCCGCCTTCTTGTTAAGCACCTGCAGCTTGGGCCTGGAGGTGAACCATTACCTATGAGCCTGCTGCCACACAGCTGAAAATCAAGCACCCTTCTCCCGCCTTCCTCCTCCCCCCATAGCTACTGGGGATAGATGTTTCAACATCTCTTGGGAGGATGACCATATGCAGTATAGCAAAAATGGGGCATTTCCTTCTATCTTCTGTTCGAAGGCATAGGTTGTTTTCACTGTTTTGTTATGTTTTTTTTGCTCTATTCAGTATTCTCAATTAGTTTTGAAATGTTCTATTTTTGGTTTCATTTTACAATGCTTAATTGACTGGACAACTATTGTTATGTTAAAGAGATATACCATAGTACTTATTACTACTTATCCCGGTATCCTACTGTGAAATCCTATACCGATTTCACTGCATTGTCTCAGTTGGCTTTGTTCTGTCTTATGCTGTTGCATTTTTACTACTTTCAAAATTAAAAAAAAAAAACATCTGTTAAAAACAATGAGAAAGCAAAATAAAGCCATTCATGCTGTTATGTAGGAGGGTGTTTGTGGGTTATATACAAATACCATGCCATGTTATAAAAGGGGCTTCGGCATCTACTCATTTTTGAAGGTGTTGTAGAAACAACCCTCATGGATGTTGAGGAACAACTGTATTCTCTATAAAATGGGAAATTGGTCCATCATGGAATTAATTTTCTTCAAAGAGTGCATTCTTTCGATTGTAAACATTCCATCAAATAACGTAGCAATCACTGGCTATCCTTACTTGCAGACAGTACTAGTGTTTTCTGGTAGATACATACTGATATTTGAAGTGTACTCCGAATCATCTGCACCTTGAAGTGCTGCTATCTTGGATATATGTCTTTTTGTAAGACACTGCCTGGGAAGGCCAAAAAAAAGAAGCCAAAATTGTTCTGCCCATCTTTCACACACATATACAACCTTAGGTACTGCATTGTACTATGCCCTGTTAAATATTATAGTAAATAATGAGGTATACAGTGTGTTATTGAAATTTAATAGGCTGGGGTAGGATTAGGAATAAAAGTGTAAAAACCTTCACTTTGCATGTTGTGATTAAAAAAAAAATGGTGGAGAGATGTCTTTGGTTTAGAGAGGGATGAAACAGATACCAAGCAGGTGTGTTTTAATAAATTAGTCATCTTTAGCTTAAGTAAAATTTTCTAATAAGGTGCAGTGGCTGGAAAGATGACAGAGTTTAAACAAAAGCACCTGTATTTGTCCCTTTTCTGTTACTGTGAATACCTAATGAACTATTGAAGCCCTGATAACTTCTAAGATTTATTTAGCTCAGTTTTGGTTCATAGCTCATGTTTGCACAGCGTGGTGCTCCGGCCAGAACCCTTCTAGCAGTGTTGCTGCATGATGGAGAGACACCAGTGGGTACAAGTGTAAGAGGGAGAGATTGCAAGGAAAAGTGGGAAGAAAGTATGCTGGGTGGGGCTGTTGTGTAACTATGAGCTCTCCGCTGAGCCACTAGGCATACCTCTAAGGACCAAAGTGCTCCCTAAAAGTAGGTACCCCCTTAGGTCCACATTGCATCAAGCATCTGACACATAATTCTCAGAGACAGCATACTCAAGCCACAGTGCTATGGAACTCTTATTTTTGTATACAAATACCAGTGTGCAAGGGGTGATTTTCAAGGCTTTGAGTCATAATTTCAAGAGTATCTAAAACCCTTAGAATTTCAAATCCTGTGTATAGAATTATAGAAAGGGTTCTGGGCTGTTTTATTACTGAAAACGTTTGTCAGTGTAAAGCTGTTTTGGATGTTACTGTATATTCATGCAAAGCCTACCCTAGTACAGTAGTAAAGCCTACAGTTACCCTCCCGAAGCAGTTTTGATGGAATGTTGCATTGCATTAGCATCGATTTCTCTCTTAAGGTATGTATTTGGTTTCCAAGTACGTTCGGAAGAACACAGATAGCGTGGTGATCTTTTCTGGAGAAGGATCAGACGAACTGACACAGGGCTACATATATTTCCACAAGGTGAGCGCTCTAAAATGAAGGCACATCTGTGCTAGATGGAGACAAGTCTGAATTATGTGATAGTTTTCTGTCCTCTCAACCCAGGGTAACAGTGATACTTTAAAGTATGAGTTTATACATGAAATCTAACAGTGTATGCTTGTTATTTGTTCTGTGAAGAAAAAAGTCGTACTAGGATGAGGTAATCCTCATTCTTTAAAGTTAGTCAAGCTGAGAATCGCCTTTCAGTGTCTTCATCCCTGCAGCTCTCCCGCCCTTTTCCCCTGAGTGATTCTGTGTGCCCTGCTGCCTTGCAGCGCTGTGGGGGAGGTTTGTGTGAGCATGGCCTGCTGTTGGCGCTGTCCAGATGTGTGCTCTGTCCCTAGCCTTGTTTTGCTGTCCGCCCTACCATCTTTAGAGTAGCAGTGCATGTAGAAAGGAACAATCCAAACTGTTTTGTGTGCCAAAAGCCAAATTGTTGTTCAGCTTGTTGTTTTAAAAATAGGCTCCTTCTCCAGAAAAGGCTGAGGAAGAGAGCCAGAGGCTTCTGAAGGAACTGTATTTGTTTGATGTTCTCCGTGCAGACCGAACTACAGCTGCCCATGGGTAACCAGATCCTTATGAAGTGATTGTTTAAAAAGAAAAAAAAAAAAACAGTACTCAAAATGTAAAGGATTGATGAATGAGTTTCTGAAGTTTTTTCCCAGTTTGTGAAATGTTGCAATGTTTCTTTTCTTTCTTTTTTTTTTTTTTTTTTTTTTTTTTTTTTTTGTGCTATGGTTATGTAATTTGCTTAAGCCAGTCTCAAACCTGCACTCTGTCCTTTCTCAGCCTCACAGACTGCTGGGGTTATAGGATGTGATACCATTCACTGCTCACGGTGCCCATCTTTTTAGCATAGCAGCAGCTTTCTGCATCTGAGGCCAGGCAAGGCCACAGCTACTGTCTTTTAAGTTTCAGAAAGTGAAAGCTGTAAAGGAAAATTGAGCACTGGCTGTTTGATGTTGTTCATACTTTGGTGGGAATAGAGATGCAAGAGGTTTAATTAGATTGTTAAAAACTAGGCTTCTTCCATATCATTTGTGCCTGACTTCAGGTTTCCTGTTTTCACATGGTCACGCTCCATAATGGAAGACTCACTGCACATGATCAACAATTGAATTAAGTGTTTTAGTTTCTCTACTGAAGCTCACTTAAGTATAAGATGTAAATAGAGGATTAGGCAGGCCCTGGACCCTTGCTTATTATCCTGTCTGTTTATCTTAATCAGCATCACTAAGAAACCAGCCACAGAGGACCTGGCCTTTGTTGAAATGTTGTGCAACACTGACTTAATTTGATTATTACGTATGAATTATTGATCAGTGGTAAAAAAAGAACACTGAATTGTCATTGTAACTGTTTCTAGGAGAAAAGATAATCTCTTGGAAACATTTGAGTCACAGTGATGTACATAAGGTACCTTCCCAATGAGCAGCTCCCTCATGATTCTTAACAATTCTGTTAAGATGTGCATTTAATCGTAGGAAAAGTTATAACAGGGCCGTAAGCTTAGTATGATCCATTGGTTCATTTGCTACGAGACTGCACTAGAGCCTAAACTGACAAGTACTAAGTATACATTCTGACTTAGATTTTTGTCTTTTCTCCTTTAAGCCTTGAACTGAGAGTTCCATTTCTGGATCATCGATTTACTTCTTATTACTTGTCTCTGCCACCAGAAATGAGAATTCCAAAAGTGAGTAAATCAACTCCAGATACACACTGTCCATTTCTCTCAATGTGCATATGTGACTTTTACTGATGCTTCTGATGTTTTCATGTCAGAATGGGATAGAAAAACATCTCCTGAGAGAGACATTTGCGGACTCGAAGCTGCTACCAAAAGACATTCTCTGGCGACCGAAAGAGGCCTTTAGCGATGGAATAACCTCTGTCAAGAATTCCTGGTTTAAGATTTTACAGGACTTTGTGGAACATCAGGTTTGATTTTGACTTTTTAACAAGGCTTTTCTAGAATTGGACAATTTGGATTGATTTTGATCTAGTTTGAAGAGTTAAAGAGTTTCTGTAGCTTTGCATATTATGGATATTTTGGCTTTTTTGAAGAGTGGATGGTTGTCAGAGAATCTTGTACTACAACTGTTGTTTGTGGCTTTTGTTAACTGTAGTTTGGATTTTCTGGCACCAGTGCCAATACAAATATTTCCTTATTATTTACAAGATTGTTGTTGTTACAGGTTGATGATGCAATGATGGCAGCCGCGGCCCAGACATTTCCCTTTAATACTCCAAAGACTAAAGAAGGCTATTACTACCGCCAGATCTTTGAACGGCACTACCCTGGCCGGGCTGGCTGGCTGACCCACTACTGGATGCCCAAGTGGACCAATGCCACTGACCCTTCCGCCCGCACTCTGACTCATTACAAGTCAGCCACCAAAGCGTAGGCGCTCACTCTCCACACTGTGTAGGTAAAGCAAGTGCTGCTTCTTGCTGTGGTGGTGGGCAAGCTGTGGTTGGCTAGGGTACCTGTAGGCGCCACCTCTTAGGCTTACTTCAGTTTGACAAAATAAAAGTCACACATTAAAGCATTGTTCTACTCGTTTATATTCACACTTTGGTAGTGAAATATGGAGCAGCATTTTCTGTATCATAGTGAGGAGGACAGTGATCCAGGCTTCAGATCCTGGGGATGTGCTCACTCAGTGGTAATGTGCTTGGGTACCTAGCACTGACCTCCACCCCCCAAAATAGAACCAAAACCTTAAAAACAGCAGTAAACAAGGTAAAGGGAGGAAGTCTCACAACGCTTTCCTAACAGAACAGCTTTGGAACTTGTCTGCCTCGTGAGGGTGTGGCCTCCTCCCTAGAGTGGTGTCATCTTGCTGTGGTCTTGCAGTGACTTCTCTTAGTCTCATCTCCATCCTAACACTTGTTGGACAAACTGGAAATACAAGTTCTTTTTAGGATTTTGTGACAGGTCTATTTTCCTAAGATACTAATTCATTTTCTTTTTTATGTTGAGCTAGTGTCTTTGCTGGGGAATATTCTGTAGCTGAAATCAAACTTTTTGATAAGAACCAGACAGTAAATATGTTAGGTGTTGAGGATCTTTGTTGGAACTGTTCGGTTCTGCTGCAGAATAAAAGCAGCTGTGTAGATAGTGTGTCAACTGATGGACCTGGCTGTGATCTGTTACTACTTTAGTTATGAAATTTGTGCAGACTAATTTCACATCAACTTCCAACCACTTCTCCAGAGAATCAACCAAAGCGAAGCATTTGTAAAAGTATTTTAAGCATTATTAGCGAATGAGGAAATAACATGGGAGACCTTCGATGAATAGACAACAGCTTCATTTAAATACTTGATTGTTTAGGGGCAACATATTGAAATACATAATGTGAATTTGGCTATTAAAAATGTTATAAGAATAAGGGAGAAGTGAGTAGGCCAAAAACTCAGCTATTAAGTTAGAAGATGAGAAATTGAGATTCTCTGGAGGAGGATTTTTTACCTACAATTAAAAAATGTGTCCTAGAAACAGGAAATACTAACAAAGCTAGAGGACTTTTTAAGAATTTTCTTTTTTATGAGCATTTGAATTTCTCAAGCCTGGGATGACTAGACTGTTACATATTTCCTGTTAAAACCTCACCTAGCTCAGTCAGGTAGTATTAAAAATACCTCGTAGCTCTAGATTTTTACTTTGACTCACATTTCTAAATGTGAGTTTGGCCATGTTTAAAGCCTCAAACATTATAGAAATACTTCTGATACAGAAGAAAGAATTTCCCAGCCTGCAAGATACTGGAAAGGCTGAGTTTCTGTTTTCTAAAATCAGGGAATAAATTCTTGAAACAATAGAGGTTAAGAGTAGGAAGAATTTATTGGATAAATGAAAAGCTCCTAAGAGATAAGAGGACCCAAAGAGTAGCTTGCGTAGGAATCCCATTTCTCAAGGGTGTTTATTGAGGAAAACCAGGAGGGGAAGTGGGACAGAACTTTAAGCAATAAGATTACAAGTATAGTTATTTAGGTAATACTGATCCAATGGAAAGATCAAGTGTGTTGTGAGGTGGGATACAACTATCAACCAATAAGATCACAGTATTACTTAGATACTATTGATTAAATGGGGGTCAAATGGGGAAGTGAGACGCGTAGCAAATGTACAATGGACACAGATAAGCACTTTCCTGGAAGGGGGGATGGGTTATGGAGGTTTGGTCTTCTACCCCAAGGTGATGTTAGTTTAGAATATTAATCACTGTTATTCATCCCAAGGGTATAGTCATTCCATTTTTCTTGAAAGCTCGCCCTTTGTGAATATGAATCCAGATAGTTTTCTTTTGCACTGACCTTCGCAGAGTTCAGCCCAGTCTTGCCTGCCTACAATATTTCTAAGTACCTTAGCTACCTACACTGTTCCCCTCTCTGAAGAAGTATCTCTAATTGTCATGAGGTGCAAATGGCAAGACTATTCTGGCTGAAAATGGTTGTAGTTGTGATCAGTAGTTAGAGATCCTCCACAGAGAGTCTAAAGGCCCTGGATAGGCATCAGGCATTCTCTTCGATGGACAGACAACTTTCAGTGTGGAGGAGACAAAGCCAAAGAAACAAGAATGCGTGGACCAAATAATGTGATTAACAATTAATTATGAATATGATCTAAGGTTTCCACCTGGACGAACCAGTAATAACTTTCTATAAAGAGGATAAGAAAGATTAGGGAATTTCAGAATCTGACATGTCATTAACTGTTGTCTAATATGAATAGCTATAGAGAGATTAGCAGAAGGATCAGGAACTTAGAGATATCATTTAGCTTTTACAATTGTACAAGTCCCCCTCTGTGCTGCTGTTTGAAATGTTTAATGTCATATGATTTTGAAAGATGGTTTATCATTAATTTTATTACTGTTTTACTTAAGAGAGAAATTGGTCAAGCTCTCATATGAGGCTCACTGGGTATAGTCACTTAAGGACTCTTAACAAGAGTGATCTGGTGGATTCTGGTAAAAGAAGTCTAGCATATTTGTTGTTGCTCTTATCTGCATGATGTTGTGGAACTTGGCAGCTTCTAGGCAAGGATAAAGAAATTTTCTGAGACATTAGAGCATATATAATCAAAGCATGAGCATTAGAATGGGTAGTAGTTGAGGAAAGCAAAATTTAGAAACTTTTCAACAGACGGGAAGAGTAATTGTAACCATTGCTTCACAGTAAACGGGTGCCTCTACTGATGGAGTCTGATAATCATAAATCCCTCTAGTTTTAGCTGCAGTTATCTCAAGAATTTTGATGATTATGTGAACTGGAATATAACAACACATTTCGACTAAAGGAAAACACTCAAGTTCTTACACATAGACAGTGAAACCAGACTCAGCATTATTCTGATTAGCTGGCAACCTGGGTGTATGTATTACAGTATTTAGACAGGATAAGTATGTCTTCTTAGGAGGGGAACAGGGCTTTTAGGCATAATTCAGATGAATGAATGAAGACAAAAGCATCCCAATAACAGCTTAAGCAAGTTTCCTACTTTCCAGTGACTTTTATTGAGGTATGCTGGCTAGAAGGAAGGTCAGGATTAAAGAGCAGGACTAAGAGACATATGCCAATGTCCAGCAGTAGGCTGGTCTCTTCCTCTAAAGTTATGATTACTTAGGGCTCCTCCATGAAGATGACAGGTAGAGATGATGGTCTGGCCAGAGGGAGAAGGCAGTGGCTGGGGTCCTTCAGTGTTGTTAGACCGGCTGGATGTGAGTTCAGGATCCTCCACTCAGAGTATAGTCTCATTTCCTTTGGCCAGCTTTGAAGTAAGAGCATAGCATAGGGGGTCTCTTAAGGCAGTTTCTCTTAAGGTAACTTAGCTTTCCATTGAAATAGCAACTGAGTTTTGTTACTGAGTGCTTGTTGGAGCCCTGAGAATCAGACTTAGGATATATTTATTTTAAGGCCACAACAAAGATAGCTGCTCCCTTAGTCTCTGTTTTCTCTCCTTGGCTTTCTCCTCATTCCAATTATAAAATACTGAAGAGGCATTTCCTACTAAAGTATCAAGTGAGCCATCTTTTGTAATTTTTTCCTAATATCTGAGGCTCACTAACTTGTCTTTAAGAATCATCTGTTCTTCTGGGTGTTTAGCTCAGCGGTGTAAGTGCCTGCCATGCCAGCGCGCAGTCGTGAATTTGATCCCTGGTTAAAAAAAAAAAAAAAAAAATCTATCCTTTTATTGAATCAGGAGCTAAGGATGTATGTTTTACCAATGCCTCTTGTAAGTTATCTATTTTTCTTTTGCTGATTAGCTGACAATTTAAAAGAATTACAGGGCCCAGTTCTTTTCAGATCTTCAAGAACACATGTGTGGAAATACCTCCTATTCCAATCTCCCATCTCATTGTTAGGTTAGTAGGGGTATTGGGTAGGGACTGCTTGGGCTCCAGTGGAAACTGGTTGTTTCCTGGATATCTTTTGGCTTTCTAAAATGTACAATATGATTTTCATCCCCAACTGCAGTAGCAGCTTGTAATGCTTCTTGACTCATTACAAATCAGTGTTTGATTTAACAGTAACATTACTTCATTCTAGTCCAGGTGACAGGTTTGAGCAAGTCCTGTGGAGCCCTCAATGCACTTTTTCAGGATTGTCTGGAAATTTTCCTAGATCTAACTTAATCTGTTTTAGATTGCTGAGAGAGAAGGACATATGAAGTTGAGTAGTTCCAAATTCCCCATTTGCTTCCTGTAAGAGATTTTGACCTTGAGGAGTTTGAACAAAATCAGTGAAAGATGGAGACAGGTTCGTATAGACTTTGCTGATGGCTGCTCTAGAAGTTTTATCCTCAGAACCAGAAGAGCAAGCAAGGAAAGCCCTCAGGCTCAGTAATTGTGAATCAGGCTTTGATTAAAGTTGTCTTGGACTCACTCATCCAAATGGAGCACGACTCAGGCTCAGAGGTAGTGGATGCCTTATGGGCCATGTGTCTTGTTTCCCTGTCACTCACATTTACATTGGAAACATAAAGATTTCTTAATGCAGAGAAAGTCTGAATGTAAGGCAATTTGACTATTTTCTCTCTTTCATGCAGTACAATTTTAGTTGTAAAAGATCATAATCAATACTTTCTTCTATATTCTATTTTGATTCTAGAAGGTCATGAGCAGGTGTAGAAAAATATTAAATTGCTTTTTTTCTTATGTTAAGATTGAATATATTCTAGTGCTTAAAAATTCATTCCAAAGGAGTAAGGATTTTCACATGATTTTTGCATTTGAAATACAAAAAGAAACAATCAGATGTTCCCTTTATTTTGTATACCCTCAGTGCATCCTCAGTGTATTGCAGGGCAGATATATGCCATCTCTAGAGAGACCAGAAGATAAAAATTTGACCAACCTATTCACCCTCACACTGGTGTGTAATTTTATCTTCCCAGAAAACTAATGTACTTGTAAGTGTAACTTACAATTGATCTCAGCTATAACAGCCTATTTAAAGAAGGAAACATTGATTAGTATTAAACTGAATACTTTCTAGTTCTTTGAAAGAGAAGAAAAATACCAAAAAGTGAGGAAGGAGATGG